GTAGGCAGTGGAAAAGGCAAATGGTGGATAAAATAAGACCCAACAAGAAAAGTTGAAAGCCCTGATCACAGCGACGGGGGTCGAGCGGTAAAAGTCACTGATTCAGCAGTCTGGAGGTCATGAGTTCAAATCCCACCACCGTTGCCTTTCTCGTTTCTGTATTCAACCTAACACTTTTTGGTTGGGGATAGCCTTTCCTTCGAAAAACTGACTCCACAACTGTTTCCAGCAGACAAAAAGTTAGTATCTGAGTTTAAGGATCATACGAACTTACTGTGCTTATTAAAAAGTACCAATCCATCGGTACAAAATATGAAAAGGCAATAAAACGTTTGACCTTATATTACAGGATGAACAGAAGTATCTTTCCCCACCCACACGTATTTCTTGTTCAGCGGTTTAACCATTTTGGTCCTCACTTCACTAGAGTCCCTGGATCCTGCGGAAAACTCTGTCGGGGTACCAGAAACATTTCCCGAATGATCCCATTTCGGTCGATCACAGTTCTCTCCATTCACCGCCGTTCCCCAAAGTTCATTTTCAGTTCTCGTATGGATAATGAAGCCAGTGGCTCTCTCTTGGCATTTAACGACTACTAAAAGCCGGATATTCTTTCTGTTTTGCATGCCTCCTTCAAATTTAGCCGAAATTAATAGAAAACTATGAAGTCATAAATCTTTTGTCTCGAACAGAACGGACAAGTGTTGGTACAGATACCAACAGAAATTCAAGTTATGAGATCTGTATCCACACTAGTTAGCAAACAAAAGTTGCATATTAGCGGCTCACCGGATGATACGAATTCAAATATCACGAAGTAACATACCAGATGATAGCTGCATTTGCTATCAGCACTACTTTGGACGCTGTCAGGGGAAACCCAATAATCGCAGAGAATTTCCCCACGGAATCCATGGACAATTGATTTCAACCAATCAACTAACGTGGGAAATTGTCGGTGTTTTCTCGACGCCACCACGTTGCTGGAAGCCAAAGTAACGGGCAGAATACTGCAATTTGACTGATCCATACGTTAGATCAGTGCTCTCCTGTTTCCATTCAGGAAACAGTTGAGGTTAATGCAACTCTATACATGTAGTACGCTTCTCCTTTAGTGAACACACTTTTCTGACTCGCACTGTTTTGAGATTAACTTTTGATTGAAATCGTGGGGGAACGTCTCGTGGGACAAGATTCGATGACAAACGAACAGATATCCTTAATCAAAGATCTATTATGGGAATGACTTGCAAGCTCATGCTTTTCTTGTCCCATAGGTTCGTTTTGTGGTGAAAAGACAGTGATACATACAATTCCTTGTGTAAAATATCACATGATACGTGTTTCTTTCACTGCTACACGCATCTTTACTTATGTTAGAATACAAGGTGTGCTAATGTTTCATCGAGTCTCAGTTTGAAAGATTCAATGTTTGGTGCACGGATGACGTGGGGTGGGAGAGAGTTCCAAATCGAACACACTCTGACTGCGAATGACTGACGTCAGCATTCCAATCGGCATTTTGAGACCACTAACTCTAAGATGAACGTTGGGTGATAAGTTTAGTAACGGGTGGCACGGATGGCTTGGGTTCTGCATTATTTGGTATATCATAATCATATCTTTTCTAATACGCCGGTAGTGATTAGAATATAACCCCAGTGACTTCAATCTCTGCATATGAATAACGATTTAACCCATAACCATTTTGGTGGTCATGCTTTGCAATCACACGGCAACCGACAGATCAGTAGCCTTCAGGATGTGAAGGCCAAATGTTGAATGAAAAGTAGTCAAGTGGTTATTGGGGTATTCATTGGGTGGCGGTAATGAAGGAAACACAGCATCGTGAAATAGAACGCATTTCATGTGTGTGCGTGTAACTGCATAAAGACTGACAATTATTTTGTTCCTAGTAGATGACTCAAAGTCAAAGTTTTATTATGGAAATAGCTTACAAGCTGGTGCTTCTCTTGTCCCATAGGATAGTTACACAGATGAATCGCTACACATCGAAAAAGGAGTCGCATACAGATCCGGGTAGGAGATGGAGAATGTAGGCTACAGTGAATTTCCGTTTGCCTTTAGTGTACGAATGTGAGGTGTGCCAAGGTTTTGTCGAGTCTCTGCTTGAAAGATTCAATACTGGGTGCACAAACGACATGAGATAGAAGGGCGTTCCAAGATTTGCATACTCTGACAGCAAAAGACTGGCGTCGGCAATCCAGTCGAGACTTTGGAATCAGTAGTTTGAAACGGTTCCCTTAGGTGTACATTGTTCGATAACATGAGAAGCGATCGACACGGATGGTTTGGGTTCTTCGGTGTTTGATAAGTCAAAATCAAGTCCCCTCGAGTTCGGCGGTACTGAGCAGAATATAGTCCCAATGATCGC